CTTACTCAAATTAAGGGTAAATACACTTAATTTAAGAAATGTTACTTATTTCTAGATAGTTTTTCCAGTGCAGGTCCAGGTTCACCACCAACCTCCTCCTGTCCTTAGGTCCTGCCAATGAACGATGAGCCCCCTCAGCTGGGCGGGGGTCTGCGGGACCAGCTGAGCTGTGTGGAGGGCGGGCGGGTTCAGGTGACGGTGGACTATCTGTCAGCCACAGACCGGGACAGTGAGGACTCCAGGCTGACCTACATGCTGGCCCGTAGTCCTGGCAGAGGGGAGCTGCAGAGAGGCGGAATGATGACAGATAAGTTCTCCCAGCAGGATCTGCTGCAGGGTCACGTCTACTACGTCCACTCAGGTGAATCCGTGCTGCGTTCAGGGCCTGTAGGTTTTCTGTGGTGGAGCTGGAGATGCAGAGAGTCATGCAGTCGTTCTGTGTTTAGGTGAAGAGATCGGGCCTCACCCGGTGTTTGACACCGTTACCCTCATCATCTCTGATGGCGAGGCTGGGGTGGTTAACAGCTGTTGCCATGGAGATGCTCCACCGCCACCGGTTCCTCTGCACGGCACACTTCCTGTTTATGACCTGAACGTCACCATCCTTCCTGTGAACAACAAAGTTCCTAAAGTCTCTCTGGGTAAGGTGATCAGAACCTGAAGGGTTAGAGTCTGAGTCCTGCTTTGTTCTGGTTCCGATTTTGGTTCATCAGCAGGAATCCCAGTTAGTTCCATCCACACATGACACATGATCAACCTGGATCATCTGAGAAATACCTGAGGATGGTTCTGGAGAACTCTGGAGGGGTTAGGTGTGTTAGTGATGCTGAAGGTCTTCCTGTGTGGAAGTAAAACAGTCTCATTGAAATCTGCCTTTTTTTGTATGCCTAATTTTAAACACTAAATTTTTTTAGCACCGAATTTTAAACATTTTTTTTTCAATGAAATTCTTACACTGAATTTTTATGCAATGAAAATACAGCTGCAAAACATTCAGCTGCATAAAATCAACTACAAAAAATTCAGCTGCGAAAAATAAACTGCAAAAAATACAGCTGCAAAAAAATAAATGTATGCAGTTGAGCAGCTTCTAGCCAATGAAATTATCTCATTTTGTCAGAAAAAAAAGGAAGTTTGACATTGGCCGCTTCTTCCAGATCAAACCAATAGCCTTGGCAGAGATGGGTGCTGTACTAGCTGTGATCGGCTCAGTTATTTCCCCCAATCGGATTTGATGACAAATTCTAATGGCTTTCTATTAATAGCTACCTGATGTTTTGTAATCATATCTATTTAACAAGAAAAATTCCTCATCAGCTTCATTCAGCCTGGAGCAAAGCTATGCCCAAGTGTCATGTGACCAAATGAGCTCATTTCATTGGCTAGAAGCTGCTCGACTGCTCCGAGTGTTGATTGCTTTGGCTTGAGTTCACCAAAAGGTCAAGACATTTGCATATAATTTTTTTGCAGCTGAATTTTTTGCAGCTGATTTTTTACCAGATATAAATGCAGTGTAAGGAATTCTATGTGAAAAAAAATATTCAGTGATTAAAAATAGGAGTACAAAAAAAGGCAAAGGAGACTGTTTTCCTTCCATATTCCACACATTCCTTTTTTATTAGGGCTGATTGATTAATCAATAAAATAGATTCATTTAATTTTCTATTGATAATCATGATTTATAAAGAAAAAAATCATCTCTTGTTCTTTTCTATTTATAATAGATAAACTAGTTTACCAGGATACAGCACTACCTGAAAACACTCAAAACAATTTTCATCATCATATTAATGTTAATAGGAAATTTTCTTTGCCTTTGGCATTTTTTTTTACATTTTGTTGCAAACAATGAATGTAAATTTATTTCAAAATATTATGTTTGTATCTAAATCCTAGATTTATTTTTTAACATATATCCTATATCAAAATGTTAAATCCAAATATAGATCTATATGTTATGAAATGTAAAATTAAAATCCAGATGTAACTTACAGCTAAATATTAAATCTAAATATTAAATTGGAATCTTAAATCTAAACATATCTCCTGAATCTTAAATTGAAATATGTATCTTAGTATTTAAATTTACACTTAAATCTTAAATTTAAAGATGACATCTTATATTTAAATATATATCTTAGATTTTCAAAACTAAGTATTTCGTCTAAAATTTGAATATTAAATTCAAATAGTGAATCTTAAATCTAAACATAAATCTCAGATGGTAAAGCCGTATCTCAGATTTAAAGAGCTGCATCCTAAAGGCCAATCTGCACTTAAATGAAATATATATTTTTTTACATTTAATGAACCATACTTACTTTATTATATTATCATAGTTTTAGGTTTTGATTTAGTTGCTTTTTGCATTAAGGTCACCAGCTAGAAGGAATAATGGAAATAAAAGCTAATAAAGTTATTTATGTAATTTGTTATTATATTGATAATGAAACTAAAGGGAGGAAAAAATTTATGGAGAAATACATTTTATTTTTTAACCACATCACTAAGCCCTACTTTCAGTCATGCTTCCTTCAGACTGATCCCCATTAAGACCAACACAACACACAGGAACCGCAGCAGTTCCCTGCATTTGGGTTTTATTCTGCAAATCCTGCACATCCAGGTACTCCTGTCTGGACCCGGATGCAGAGAGGAGAGTTAATCTGCTGGTTTGTTTCTCTGGATGAAATCATAGCAATCTGGTCATATGTGTGTCCCACATTCTCCTGGGAGAAGATTTTTCTATCTGGGGAAGCTGCCAACATTGCAGGGATGAAGGAGAAGCTGGTGGGTTATCAGAGGGAACCAGTTACCATTGGGAATGTGTGGAAGAATAAATATTCAGATTGTTTTATTATGTCCTTGTGCTGCTGTAACCCCCTCCCCCCCAAGGCCATCTAAGCATGCTGGAACATCCTCCAGAAACCTGCAGGTCAGATTTTAGAGCCTTTTGAAATGTTCTGATTCCCCCTGATGGACAGGTAATGGACAGGTTGTGAACGCAGGAGCAAACCGCTGTTCAGACTTTAATGTTGATAAAGTTCTGGATTTGTAGAAACATTTGAAGCCCTAACAGAAAGGAGTTGCAAAGACTGAGCTGAAAATTCGTTAAAACCCATTAAAAGCTTCAGAGTGGAAGGCTCCTGGTTCTACGTCGGTTTGTCTGGTCCCGGTCCATTTTGGGGTGTAAACATTGGCTGTCCCGGCCTGTATGTGTCTGACTGACATGTTTTTGTTGTCAGGCTTTACGGAGGCCTTTTGTCTTCCCTTCAGGCTGCCTCCATGTTTGGCTCTCAGGTGTTTAGAGGGAAATCTGCCTATTGTATACAGGAGTCAGATATGGACAGCTAATCTCTGCTGGGGGGGGGGTGTCCAACAGATTCCAGGACAATATCTATCAGTCCAGAACAAAAGAGGAAGAGGTGCTTCTCTCCTTCACAATAGTTGCTCTGCAGGCGCCTCCTCGCTGTGTGGATTAGAGACAGGATCCAGGAGCGACACGATGTCCTCCTAATCCTGAAGCGTCTGTCTGCATACATTCATTTCCTACAGAAGCTCAAGGTTTGGTCGTTTCCTGCTCTAATTAAATCAGCCACAAAACACGACGGACGATGGATGGACTAATTAACAGGGAATAAAAACCCGGTGGAAGAGCGCTTGTCCAGGTGTTTGACAGTTTATCAGCAAGACTCAGAACCGTCCCTCATTAACTCAACACCCTGCAGGATTATATTTTAAACATGTTTACATTTCCAGAACCTGCTGCTGAACAACATCATGTCCTAAAAAACAATACC